TAGTTGTGGGTGTCTGCTTCTACTTCCACCAGCTGCTGGATGAGGACTATCGGGTAGCATATAAATCAGTCATCAGTCTCATTATCAGGGGAGGGCATTTAAGGTAGCCTCTCCTCTGTTGCTTAGATTGTTAGCTGGTGTCATCTTTGTAGATCTCCAGACATTTCCCTAGTGCCTGATTTCTCTGTAAACCTAAAATGTCTCCCTCTATTATGGTATATCCACTCTTGTTTTCTTCTATTCTTCCCTCCACTCAACTTTCTGCTCCCTCATGTCCTCCTCACCCCTCCTCTTCTCCCCTTCTCATTCTCCCTGTTCCCTCCCCCTCTTCCTGTGCTCCCAATTTGCTCGGGAGATCTTGTCCCTTTCCACTTTTCCAGGGGACCATGTATGTCAGGCCTAGAGATTTTTAAGCTTTGCCAAGACCAGGATCTTTTACCTTCTGTTCTTTGCTGCACCTGGTACACAGTATTTACTGGGAGCCTAACTTGTAGGGAGATACCACAAACACCTCCTAAGAAGTGGCTACAGGTGTGCTGAAGGTGATGTCAGGGTGACGTGGGAGAGGTTTTAAAGGGACAGACAAGGCAGATGGGGCTCTCTCTTGCCTTGCTGCTTTTTGCATGCTCTGGCTTGCTGTTGGCTGGCATTTATCTATTAAAGTTATCCTAACCTTACAGATTTCATATCAGTTATTCACCATTTTTCTAACTTATGTATAAATGATGATTCTTTAGGAATAGCTGGGCTGCAACTTAATAAGTGAAGTAAAGAATATATTGTATGAAAAAATCTATTTTCAATAAAAATTACTGAACCACAAAACTATAGAAACAGTAAAGACAGGATGGCTACACCAAGGGTTCAGTAAGGAGGGCCAACAGGTAGAGCAGAGGACATACCTAAGGGAGAGAAACAACACCATGTCACACTGTAGTGGACGGAACACGTGTCAAAATTTGTAGAATATACATCATCGGGGCAGGTCTAATATAAGCAATGGATTTTACAAAATCAGGGGTGGGTGCTAACACGAACAATGGATTTTAGCTCAAATGAATCAATATTATTTCAACAATTACATCAAATTTACCCAAGATGCCAGAGAAGGAAGCTGCGTGTAGACCCAAGGAGGGAATGAATACTATACTGACTGAGCAGGTTGTATTTATGTATGTATAAATATGTATGTGTATATGTATTTTCCATGTCTGTCTGTCTGTCTGTCTGTCCTCTCTCTCTCATCTATCTATCTATCTATGCATTTCTTCTTCCCTTCCTCTCCATACATACATATTTGCAACAACAAAGATGGAGGGATATGATATAATTATAACTTCAAAAAAAATAAAAAAACTATTAAAAGTTAATGGGTCATCTTCCATGTATGCAAATAGTTATTTCTGTATTGTGTAGGTTATTTCTTATTGCTTCTTTTTTTTTCATTTTATTAGAAACAATCTCCTTTTACATGTCAATCCCAGTTCCCTCTCCCCTGATTGCTTCTCTATGGAGCATTATAAATTTGACATGAAAATAAAACAGGAGTTTAAGAGAACATATTCCTAAGTGCCTGGCTGAAGTAACGTTGTGAGATACCATCCTTGGCAATTTGAGGAGGTGGGTTGACTCTAATTCTATGCCCAAGAACCAGTGGGCACCCCCTCTTCACATTCTTTCAGCTTCTCAACTTTTCCCCTTCTCAGATGGTTTTCCATTTCATCTGCTACTCTTAGCTAATTATGTCTAGTTACCATAAGTAATGAAGCTATAAGCATACAGCTATGTTGCCTTAAAGTGTGATTTCCTAGCATTTCAACAAATCTACAAAACTAAAAAAATGTATTCTGATACAACTGCAACACATTTCTATCAAGCCAAATACAACAGAAATATCTCTACCCCATATTATAATCCAGCAAACTGGAGAGTAGACAGTACAGTGAACCCTTCCTGTAAACAAATTACGGAAGCTCAGAGTCAGTGAAGTCTCATTCACCACTCCTGTATGTAATTTACTCTTTACTTGCTCTTCTCTGTAGGGTCAGACAGAATGACCCTTTCTATCTAACCCAGCTACAGCATTAGTCAGCACTACTTACAGCTGGCCAGATGAACAAGACTACATCCACCCCTTAACCCAGGTGTGCTGCTTGAGAACTTCTGGTGGATCAGATCATGAGAAATGGAGAAAGCAATGTTTTCTGCATTTTGTTTCCACCGGCTTCATCGGGAAGGTTACTGGCATGCCTAGACTTTGGGGGTTGCCCTGGCTCATGTGTGAATGCATTTAATTAAATCCCAGGGCCAGTTCAAAACCTACAAAAGGCTGGTCAGACCTGACACTGCTCTTGGGGTTGGAACTAAGAACACAAAGTCTGAGGAAATTAGCTGGAGACATATAGCATGGGTTCCTGCTGCAGTTGGTTGTATGGAAAATTCTCTCTCTCTCTCTCTCTCTCTCTCTCTCTGTCCAACACCCCTTTCACTTCTTAAAGACCTCTTGTATATGCAAGTGTCTGGCTCCTCACTGTTTCAATCTCCACAAACCATTATCACATATTGTCTCAAATGATGTAATTTTAAGTAACTGAGAAGTCGTGCCTATTAGTTTACTTTTGTAAGTATTCCATGGTTTAACTTTAGGGTGAATGGGTTAAGCTACAAGAACAATTCTCAGATGCAGACCTGGAAGCTGTCTTGGCTCCTCTCTTGGCCACAGATACACAAGTAACCAGAACACCTGGATGCAAAGCATTACTGTACTCAAAGTAATCACAAGTTACTTTTTTCTCACCAACTTGAGTTTTTTCCCTTTAATGACTTAAATATTTTACAAGCACTTAAGTCACTTTACTCTGAAGAAAATCATCTAGTTTCCTCAATTTTCTTGAATGTTTAAAAAAAATTTAATTCAAGGGATGT